AGTGCAGATACATTCTTTAGGAAGATATCAAAGCTGAGCCAGATGCACACCTTTTCATTATATTATCGGTATCTATCAATTGAGCCTCTATATAATATATCTATTTTTATTATTTCTAATAAGAGATTTTTTATAATCTTTAATTTTCTTTATTTCTAATAAGAGATCTCTAAATAATATCTTTATTTTTGTAGTATTCAAATAAATAAATCTTCTACCAGATACAATAAATATTGAAGAGATCAAGTGAGGTCCTGCTTCTATTTATGACTATTAAATAATTATCGATTCAAATTGATATAGAAAGGACAATACTTATAAATTTCACGACGAATACGCTTTCCATCCTGCTTTTGACCAAAGGTCGGACGGATCCTATTTTGAAGTTGCAGTCGTTTTTTTGGCAAGCCGAAACAAGGAAGCTGCGCGAGTGAACGTTTGCTAGTCCGCTTTGTCTTGCTGCTTGTCACACCAACTCGCTTAACTCACAAGCTCGAAAGCTGTAGCCTGTAGCCTTTGTTTGCGTGGTGGAACACTTTTCTGAACGGTTCCTGTGGGTGAGTGGTTTTGGAAAGTGCTCGCCCGTCGCACCGCTTTCGCTCGAGCACACACCATGCAACAACAGCTTACTTTGCTGCTGAGAAATTCTTTTTCTTCCCACCTTGGGCTTCACGCTGTCTCTGCAACTTCTGCACAAATGCTGCAGCTTGGAATGAGCTTCAGCGTCGCATAGCTGCGGTCGCGGTTTGCAGGAGAGTTCTCAGCTTTGTGCGTTTGCTTGCTTTCCCACCCTTTTTTACCGTGGTCTGCACGCGGTTTTGTTTTTCGCACGTTCCGTTGTGCTACGCTGCCCGCTTACAGGTGAGTCCACCAAACGTCGAGCCCAAGCAATCGCCATAGCATTGCACAACCAAGAAAAGATAGATAATATTATTATAGTGAAGCCTAGGCCGGCCAATTCGGCCAGGGTGAGAATCGACGTGTTTGACTTTTTGCTGAGGGTTTCGGGCTTGTATATGATAACCGCAGATGTATCTGTTATTCACGTGTTGGCCCCAGCCTGTTTCAACTACAACGGCAGCGTAACAGAGGCCGTTGCTTTTGCAGCGCTACAGTGTCTTCGGATGCTGCGAAACCCTGTGTCCCTTGACCCCTCATAGCTCCCATTCTGCAAACAATGAAAATATTGTAGCCCGAGCAAGGACAAGGATTGAGCTCCCGGGGCAGCGCAAAATTGATTGATTTTTGGTGCTGCTCCGCCTGACCCAGTGTCAAAGACTTGCTTCGCAGCAGCGCCGGCACATAGAGCCCTTCAGCAGAGACTGCATGCTGCAGGGTTTCTGCCCGGATCACATGCAGCAATGACCTTAGATTCGAATGTTGATGCAAATCAGCACGTGTCGCGAGACCCAAACACCGTAGACAGGTTCTTAGAGCTCGGAGCTTGTACATTTCAAGTCTGAACAACACTCTGCTCAGGTTAAGGCAAGAGGGATCAGCGTAAGAGTTGCTTCTTCAATCATGCGTTGCCAATCGGGAAGCTAACGAGAGCCTTCGCTACAAGTTCCGTCCGTCCTGAAAAGACGCGCACCTTTTGCAAACCTGACGACACTCATATCTACGAACTGCACTGGCACCCCTAGCCTACTATGCCTCCTGCTCAACATGTTCCTTCACCTCCCTCAGGTGTCAAATATGATCCAGTTAATCGCTCCGAAGTTGAAGTCTTCTGTTCAAGCTCTTGGTTGCCCTCGTGAACCCCCCCGTCCGCGATGGCATGAGAGAAACAACCCACAATCTACTGTATATCATTTGAAAAAATGCTGCAGGAGTCAGAGGCTGCGAATGGCAAGTCTCATGCGCCTTATCCACTTTTCATGGGGCCTGGACGAGTGGCACTTATAAAAGGGAGATCCAAAAGCACAACACAGAAGCCTCACCTTTTTGCTGATGAAGGAACAGATGCCAAGACTTCGAGCTGGAGATGCGTGCGAATGCCAAAGAGAGAAGCCATGTCCAAGATTGCGGGCAAAGCATGATGCTAGAAGCTGAGGTGGCAGCGGTCGAAACAACAGGCTGCCGGCGGCCACCCTGCAACTGCTGCCGCATACTCTATACTCTACACGCCACCGCAGAAGGAACAGCAGCAGAAAGCGGCAACGGCTTGCACCTTGGAGCTCTATGACGACTTTAGTCAAGGATGCAGTGGGCCTTGCAATCCCTCGCACTTGCATCATGCGGCTACATGAAGCATGAAGCCACCATCACGGCAGATGCGCCTGGGCACGAGCAGAAGATAATCGAAGATGCGCAGGACCTTCAAGTACTTTGAATCCGAACCTCTCCCAAGTCGACCCAGTGTTCCGTCTGCCAACGGGAAGTCGTTCCGGCGACGTTGGCAACAACATCACGAACGGGGGATGGCGAACGTCCACCACAGCTGCTGCGAGCAAGCGGTGTAGGCAGCTCCAGACGAGGGTCCATTAACTCGGCGGCAGGTCGTCCTCGAGACGGGCCTCCATGTGCCTCAACTCCTCCAAGAAGTCCTCCCGGAACCACCGAAAGGTGAGGGACAAGCGCTCGGAGCTCACCGGCGGCACCTCATGAGCCATCTCTCGCGCAGGTCCCTGCAGGCAGAAGCAGAGCCCATCTTCCTCCTCCAGCCGGAAGCCGAGCTCCGCAAAGAAACCTGCCTCCGGACGCCAATCAGACGAGTGTGACTAGAGCCACTCAGTCTGAGTTTCGGGCCTTCAAGCCCAGCCCGACGGCCTGGAAATCAAAAAAAGGAAAGGAGCCCGGAGCCCGGCAGAGCTCCTCCGCACCGCTCTCACAGTCCCAGTCCCAGTCCCCGCCTCGGCGAGCAAAGTTTTGGAGCCCTCGGACTCGGAGGGCGTCTCCTGGCACAGCCGCAGCCCATCGCAAGGCGCGCCGGACTTCAGGACCACTCCCACGATAGTGTCCTTGCGCTACGCACTGCACAATCAAAGTACGAGGCATCATGCACGCCCCGCCTCGAACATGGGGTTGTCCACGTGCCGGGGCAGCGCCTGGCCTCTGGCGTAGCGCCGCGCCAGGCCGTTGCAACGGTTCTCCGCTTGGAGCAGCGCTGTTCCGAGTCCCAAAAGCTGGAGCGCTTCCCCGAGCAGCTGTCGGCAGGCAGGCAAAGCACCCAAGCTCTGCACCCGGTGCACTGGTGCCGCCGCGGCACCCCGCAGCCGCACGCCGTTCCGAGCCGCACCGTGGCGGGACTTCACCGCGTAGAAGCTCAGGCCCAGCTCCTGTGCGAAGAGGACACGTGACAGCGAATATCTCGCACACATTCGCACACCACACAACAAAAACACACACACACACACACACACACGCATGCACGAGTCTCCAGCACTCGGTCGGAGAGGATGCTCTTGTTGAGCTCTGTTGTTGCAAGCGCGATCGTCTCTTTCGGAAGCGATGCCAAGCGAAGCCCTGAAGGGAGGCCTTCACGCCCCGGGAGGTCCAAGAATGGGAGGCGCTTGCCCGGCCGGAGCCTGAGATATTTCAGGACCTGGGCTTGCTGGACTGGCCGAGCTCCGAAGGCCACATCTTGCCAGGGATAAGGCATTCTGAGTCGGCATCTATCAAGTCTCGGGTGACTACACTCTTCCGCTCGGGCCACGAAACCAAGAGCCGAACGTTGAAATGCAGCACATGACATGCTTAATCCGACTAGCTACTACTTCCGCGGCTTGCGAGATTGGTAGACCGATAGCTTCGTTCCACCCTACTCAGCCTTCCTCATGTTTGTGTCATCGCTGATCCACTTTGCGGTCGCGAATCGCTAGGAGCGATTGGGTGATACACACTCACTCGGCTTCACCTCACACTCTTGCCTGAGAGGGCATGCAGATGTGCGCCCATGCTTGACAAGCTCGCTCGTCCTTTCCAGTTGACCTTCCCTGTAACAAGAATCTCGACCGAGGTTGGTGCGATTTTTCTTCATGTTTGCTCTCCTGGGTTCAGGACCATTGGAATGCGAAAGCCCTGGCGATCCTCCCGAATATCTCGAAACGAGCGGCAGTGCTTCTTCCTCGGCTTTCTTCGCAGCAGCGGCTTTGGCCTGGCACTCCCCGTCCTCTACACTTTGAGCGGAAAAACGGATATGCTGTTCCGACCTTCCGTGCCCATTTCGCTGCAGCCTCTGCCGCTGCTTGGGCCTTGCTTGACATGAATTGCGCGTTTGCAACCCACACACAGAGATCACGACACCGGGAGCTTGCCTTCGCTTCTTGTTTCATCTTGGCAGCCAGAGCCTGAAACCTTTGATTAGAAGGGCAGCATCCAAGACACGGTTCGGGGGTTCGGTCTCATCGACGCCTTTCCATGCGGCCAGGTTGCTCCCACACCGTCATCGGCGACGGGACCGGATCAGATGCCTGGGAAATCGCATTGTCGTTTGCCATGTTGCAACTTGGAGCTCGCTTCATGGATACTGGCAACCTCACACAGACCTGCGCTGAGATGTCGGCACAAGCGTGCCGCCACGCCAACATCGGAGTCTGGCTACGACAAGTGGGACGCACACTTCACGGTGCAAGTTCGCCTTGGGACTTCCTGCCTCTAAGGTTGGCGGGTCCAGCTTAATGGCTCTTTGGCAGTCCTGGAACACCACAGCCGAAGCGGAAGAGACGCTTCAGCCAACGCAGACCAAAATCCAGAACACGTCCTGGACTGCTTTGTCGTGCTTCTCCATCTTGGAATAGGCCTGGCCACCTATCAAGTTGTGCATGGCATATCTATCAGTTATGGAGCGACTGAAGTGCAACCACTGTGCGGATGGAGAAGGCAGACGCGCAGTCTGGATCATACCTCACGGAGCGAAACATACCAAGATGGCTGGTTTATCCAAGTGCCACCCATCGCCAAGCTCAGCGCTTGAGCGCTGTTGTTGCATCGGACACCGCTCCTACCAGACTTCCGACTCTGACCCTGTGAGCAATATCACCGATTGTTCTGGCGGGTCCTTTCAAGTCACCCATAATTCGCTTGATCTGAGCTTGGGTGCACCTGCCCAAACTTTTCGACTCTTCGCGACTCGGCTATGGGTAACTATGGAAGGTGCACATCGCTCTCACCAGCCGCTTGTCCAGTTGCAGCGCCTGCAAGCACATACCGGCCGAATTGGATTGGGTCCATGGTCGCACAGAGTGGCGGTCAAGCTTAGCTTAGCTGCGAAGCCTGTTCGCAATCTTGCAATGCACCTGCGTCAGGCACGGAAGCAAACAACGAATGCTCCAGTCCAACCAGCGGCTTCCGCACAACACGACGATTCATGATGCCTTCGGGCTCGTTCTGCTTCAGGCGAATATGGGCACCTGTCAACAAAGACGGATGCAAAGTCACAGAGGCTTGTTCATGTTGGGTGAAAGTCTGCTGCCCCATGCAAGGCCACGACGGTGAGCGAAAGCCATGAAGCTCTCCCTGCAATGCAATGATGCGGAGTCTCAGCAGTGCGATTGAGTATGAACACCAGAACGGCAAATCGTCGTTATGGCAAGGGGCGGCCAAAGCTTCACGACCTCGTCGAAGTCTTTTCGAGCACCTTCGAGGTCCTTAAGAAAAATTGGGCTGTTGCTTCTTTTGTGTGGCAGGTTCTTGCCATACAGGCCCCTCAATCCTGCAGGTCGGCCCGCGCGCAGCCTCTGTTGAACCTGAGCCCAGGAGGTTTTGCCTTGAATTCTGATACACCCAGTGCTGTCAAGTGCAAGGAGCCATCATCCCAATCTAGCCGTGGAAAGCAGAAAAGAAGCATGGAGGTGCATATGCTCTAGCCTGCTCTGAACCGTGCACTACCTCAGCATCCGGTCCAAGTCCAAACGTTTACGGTGTCATGAAGTTGTGGAGAAGGAGGATGTCCAACAATCGTCGAACGAGTCTACACTACATCAGTACTACATCGTTGTCGGCTTTGCCTAGTCGGCTTAGTTTTCTCAACAGTCCATACACCCACATGCACCGACATCGATCCGGAAGAACCGAGACAGTGGCCAGGCTCGCGCACAGCTCGGGTCCAGGCCGATAGCCTTTGAGACATCTTGTGGTACGTACTGATTCTGTCTCCACTGCTACTTGCGCCATATTACACTCATGCAGTCCCAGCTTCCATGCGGTGCGTTATCGGGAGAGATGTCCCGGCCTTGCTGGACGCCTCTGCAGAAGCGACGATGTCGAGGTTGTCTAGAAGGGCTCCACCTAGAGCGCCTGGGCAAGCTTACGCGGCTGTGGTGCTCTCGGCTTTGCTGCCCGAGCTGCGCACACCATGCATCCACGTTTTCCTCTTCAAGACTTCGAGATGGGCATCAAATGAATGACTTGAATGTCCGCAATATGTGCATCATCGAACCCACGGCCAGCTGTCATCAGTATGACAAGCTCAGTCCCAGTCCGCGTCTATTGTGATGGCCTTCAGCGACGCTGGCAGCAGCCACTCAAGCATCTCTTTTTTGGCACTCGCACTCGACAAAGCAGGCGAGGGTTGGGGAGGTCCACACATTTCGACCACCTTACCCCACACCCCAACATTCCCCACTCCTC